AATATAATACAATAGGTGATGCAGACACAGACCATAACACCGTGGAAGGCTAGTCCGGCTACCAAAGGAGTGAAAACACACAGTCTAAATACTGACACTGATGAGACAATGAGGAGCACCTGGGGTGATTTAGAATAAGGATCAGCTGTGGATGATGACATGGGGAACAGAGGTGCAGGAAAACTAAACCATGTCAAATCTAAAATGACACTTGGCATTATTTTCCTGTTTTACTCTCCATTAACAACTTTTTAGGTGATATTTCTTAGTAAATCCCTTTTTTACAATTCATCCAATCAGTTAAAACAGAAAAGTCACAAAATATCAGAACATTTGACTCTTAAATAGAAACACCAAAGTTCATGCTCAGTAATCCAGTTATAAAAATCCAACAATGTTCAGTCAGGTCATCTGGATGGTTTCTTTTGTTCTGTTGAGACGTTTTGTCCTTCGTCCAAAGGACTTCTTCAATCTGAGGAGACAACAGACAAACTGATTTTGACAAACAGCATACTCCATAGTGGGAAAAAAAAAGTTTGCTGGTGATAAGATTGCCTCCGGGGCCCGCCCTCTTCCCCGTCAACTCCTTTGAGACAGTCATGCCAAGTGGTTCAAAACACCAAAGTCCATGCTCAATAATCCAGGTAAAAATCCAACAATGCTCAGTCAGGTCTTTTTTTTTTTTACAGAGATATTTTTGTCCTTCATCCAAAGGACTTCATCAATCTGAGGAGACACCAAACAAAGAGAATACAGACACTTAAAGCAAACACTCTGTTTCTCTGACACACGTTAAATCAAGGTACACAACATTTTTCATTTTGTCTGTGAAGCTGATGCATTGTCCAGTTTTAAGACTTACCTATTTGATAAATCCTATAGTTAGGGTTGGCTTGTCATGTTGTCTTAATCTTAGACTACTGGAGGACAAAATAACCTAATTTCCTTAAATGAATTGTTAAAATTGAATCGTTTTCATTTGATACTATTTCTATCTTAACATGTGATTCTTGACCTGCCATTGTGTATCTGTTCTTACCAAACCCAGCTGGTTGAAGCAGATGGACGCTTGTCCTGAGCCTGGTTCTGCTACAGGTTTCTTCCTCATGAGGGAGTTTTTCCTTTCCATTGTCGCTTTCATGCTTGCTCAAGATGAGAGTTCTGTGATGGAGTTAAATTCAAAGCAGTCTGCTCCTCTGATAAATAATGTTAAATTATTATTTTATATATGAATATTTCTGTTCAGTGCCCTGAGATGACTTCTGTTGGGACTTGGTGCTGTATAAATAAAGTGAACTGAATTGAATTGTCTCTATGTGTCCCTGATGGACTGTAGACCTGCCCAGGGTGTCCCCCACCTCTCACACAGTGACTGCTGGATTTTGGCACCGGTGACTCTTGTGACCTGAAAAGGAAGAAGTGCGTGAAGATGATGGATGGATGTTCATCAACAAGAGTTTGATAATCTCACTGAACTTTTCTCTGTTACTCTTTGCACATCAAAACAAAAAGTCCAACTTGTGTTTTGGGTCATGAGAAGTCTACACTGAGCATGCTCAGTTTTGAGAAGTGATAAAGACTCAATCAGTCAAAGGTCTAACACAGAAAATATCATAGGAGTCAGTTAAAATGTTACCAAGTGCCAGATTTGGCCCATGGGCCTTGAGGTTGACACACATTCATTATCTCTGCATTGTCTGCTTTTGAAAGGCATCACAGAGCATGTGGATAGGAGTCACTGTACAGAAGACAGTGATGAACACATTACTTTATTTGCCTCAAATGGTAGTTTTTACACTATTTCAGTCACAACGCTTCAATATTTTAGTGGCTGTTCAGAGTGCTCAACAACCATCTCAGCTACTTTTACATCCCAGAGAAGTCCTTTCTGACAGTAGAAACAGACCAGAGGACATCAGTGGAGTGAAGTGGGACAGCTTTGGGACCAGAGCTGCCGCAGTGTGTAGTGCCATCTAGAGGCTGTCGTTCATGACGCAAAGAAGTTAGTTTAGCTTTCACTGAACTTCCAGTAAAGTCATCAGACAGAGATGGTTTATTGATTTCATTTTCTTTGTTTGCGTGCTTCATAATTAGCATGCCCTACGAGAGCTTTTTAAATCCTGCAGCTGCTGTGGCAGTGATGACAAGTGAGCAGCATCTTCTTGAGTGCAGCATAGCGTTAATAATGCTGAGCCTAGCTCCGTGTGGCCTCATCCCACCTGTCCAATAATCTGTAAGTGATGCAGGGAGGTTGCTGCTCCACTGGGTTACAGTGCGCTTCTTTTGGGTGTTTTTAATGAGACCTTAATGGTAACACACCACCTTTCCACATTTTATCACCTTATAACCACAAGCTTCAAAGTATTTTACTGACATGTTACGTAATAGACCAACACAAAGTATAGTGTATGACTGTAGAAAAAAAAATTCTGACGTATTGTGTGCGTTTATATTCAGCCCCCCTGAGTCAGTTCTTTGCAGAACCATATTTCACTGCAGCTCCAGCTGCAAGTCTTCAGGGCTTTGTCTCCACCAGCTAAAATGTTCGCCCTTTCTTCTTTGTAAAACAGCTTCCAGACTCAGTTTTCAAAACCTGCCACAGATTCTCAGTCAGATCTAGGTCTGGACTTTAACTGGGCCATTATGACACATGAATATTATTTGATTTGACCCATTCCATTGTAGAGCTGGCTCGATGTTTTGGGTCGTTGTCCTGCTAGGAGGTGAACCTTCACCCAAGTCTCAAGTATTTTATAGCCTCTATCGGGTTTTCTTCCTGGATTGTCCATTTTCCATAAACTCTGAACAACTTTTCTGTCTCTGTTGAAGAAAGGCATCCCCACAGCATGATACTGCCACCGCCCTGTTTCATTATGGGGGTGGGGTGGTGTATTCAGTGGGAGGTACAGTGTTAGGCTTCTTGGCTACCTCTAAGATTAATGCTGTCTCACTGTCAGTTTAGATGGACAGACATATCTTAGTAGGTTTGTAGTTGCAGTAGTAGAGACTGTGCCGTACTCTGTCAAGTTTCAGATGATGAACGGAACAGAGCTCTGTAAAATGTTCAAAGTTTAGGATATTGTTTCATAATTCAACATGACTTTAAACTTCTCAACAACATTATTCCTGACCTGACTGGTGTGTTCCTTGGTCTTCATGATGCTGTTTGATCACTAATGTTCTGTAACAAACCTCTGAGGCCTTTACAGAACAGCTGGACTGATACTGAGATTACATTACACACAGGAGGACTCTTTATTAATTAGGTGTCTTTTGAAGAGTTGCGTAGAATTTTAGTAAAGTATATCGGAGTAAAAAGGTTTAAATATAAATTAATTCCACACTTTTTAGATTTTTTTTTTTTTGAAACTCTTTAAGAAAATGTGCTTTTTTTCCACTTTACAATAATGTTCAACTTTGTGTTGTTTCACATCAAAGCCAAATAAAATACTTTAAAGTTTGTGGTTGTAATGTGCCTACTTCTTCTTTGGCCTTGTCCCTCTTCAGGGTCTCCACAGCGAGCCGCCTCCATCTCTGTCCTCTGCATCCTCTGTCCTCACTCCAACTACCTTCATGTCCTCTCTAACTGCATCCATATATCTCCTCTTTGTCTTTTTTCCTTGCAGCTGCATTTCTAACATCCTTCTACCAATATACCCACTGTCCCTCCTCTGGACATGTCCAAACCACTGTCCCTCCTCTGGACATGTCCAAACCATCTCAGTCTGGTCTCTCTAACTTTATCTCCCAGTTGTTCAACCTGTGTTGTACCTCTGATTATCTAATTCCTAATCTTCTCCATCCTTGTCACTCCTAATGAGAACCTCAACATCTTCATTTCTGACACTTCCAGTTCTTTCTCCTGTCTTTTTGACACTGTCTTCAAACCATACAACATAGCTGGTCTCACCACTGTCTTGTAAACCTTTCTTTTGACCTTTGCTGCCACACCTTTGTCACAACACTCTTGAAACTTTTTTCCATCCACTCCATCCTGCCTGGACTGTCTTGGCCATTCTTTAGCACACTCCTCGTTTTCTAGAGCAGTCAGCTACCATACTCCTGCCTCCACGCTTATCGGTCACTCTATGTTCCTCTCTCTCTTTTGGAAATAGGAGCTAACTACAGCCATTTCAATGAGCTTGGCATAATCCACCACCATCTGTTCTTCCTGGTTTCCTTCTAGACACCAAACCTACCCATCACTTCCTCATCTTCTCCGTTTCCTTCCCCAACATGTCCATCCAGGTCTGCTCTGATCATCACTCTCTCCTCTATTTTTCTTTCAATCCACACCATGGTAAAACATTTTGAACCCTGCTCCAATGCTGCAAGCCTTGCTGGCGTTCAACTTGGTCTCTTGCTGCACACATAAAACATCTACCTTCCTTCTCTGCATCATGTCAGCCAGCTCTCTACCTTTGCCTGTCATTGTCCCCACATTTAGAGTTGCAACCCTCAGTCTCACTCTTTTGTATTTTTCTATTCTCCCTCTGTTTTTTGACACATTTTCCTCCGTGTGGTTCTTGATTAACCATAGCACAGTTTCTGACGCACCCTGTTTGTCAACAGCCCCGGCGGAAGTCGTTGTTAACCCGGGTTTGGACCGATATGGTATGGTGTCATTTGGATGAACTAACATGTCAGTTTGGGCCAAAGTGTTTTACGTCAAATGCCGAACCTGACACAGTGCTCACCATTTACTCAGGCTTGGGACTAGTACAAGAGATGGGTTCAAAAGTATGTTCAGAGGTTCAAGGGTTATGGAGACTTTTCCAAGACCCTGTTGACCTTTAGAGAATAAAAAGGAAGTCCAGCACTTTCAGGACCAGACAGTAACTAATGTGTTTCAGACTTCTACTATGAGGCCCACACACTGACTGGTTAATACAACACCCAAACCTTCACTCATTTAACAGTACCCGTTTTATGCTGTTTCTATTTGAGATTTAAAAAGCCACTGAATAATTGCTCTGTTCTGATTTCTTATCTTCACACAGGCTGCAGAGGTGGAGAGGCAGCTGTCCACTCAGGTCCATTCATTACGGGACAACTTCAGGGAGAAAAGTGTGTCTACAAGCCAGCACATGACGCAACTAGAGACTCTAGAGGCTGAGGTCAGACACCCGTCGGTCATCTTTATTACAATCGTCATTTTACATTCATTAATGTGACATAAACAGGACTTATTTGACAAATTTTAAGCCTAAACATTAACGTTTCATGGATCAAAATAATATTTGATCACAGTTTGAAGCTTTAAGGGGAACCTTAGTGTTATAATGAAACTATAGGTCTCTCTTGTAAATGAGTCCTCGAGGCTCAGTGAGACTAACCCGTATAAATAAAGGTTGGATTGAATTGAATTGAAACTAACTCAGTATTTATTTTTAATTTTATTTCTGCTTGATCCGGGACAAAATGAGCTATTGATAGAAATCTTTAGATAGATGAAGCTGATTTCTTTAACATTCCAGGGTCTGTGACATAAAAACGGATCTGGCATATCACATTCATGCCATTGATTTATTTTGAGTATACTTGTTTATGTGTGCAAATTTTAAGAATGCAAATATCATTTAAGTACTTTTATTTATTTGTTTCAATCACAGATTTAGTTTAGCTACTCCTGTAGTTTTAGAAAAAATAAAAACAGTTGAGAAACTTCAGTCTTCTTTGGAGATCTACCCATTCAAACATCAACAAGAGAAACAATTTTCAAAGTTTGAATGGGTCACAGAAAGCTGGACATTACATCACTGCACTGACATTTAACATCTTTCTTTATTTTTGAAAATGTTCTAATTACAGCTGAGCTTTCTAAACGTTCCCAAATTTTTGCAACCCCCTCCTATTTCCACGTCTTACACTTCCTGTAGTTTATATATTGAAACATAGACATTTTTGGTTTCTTTCACTCAATGTTTCTCACTGACAGAATTTAGTTTTCTCTCTAACTCCCACCCAGTGCAGAGTGCACACACTCAAACTCCCACTGAGTCAGAGATTATCCTCTAAACTGGAACTTTTTATCTTATCCTGTCACCTACAGAAAACTTGTAGACATAAAATAGAAATGTGTGATTGGCAGGTGCTTTTGTCACCTACAGTTCAAGTTATGTTTAACGCAGACTATTTGTTTGAGGCTTAATTTCTACCCTGCATCTTTTCCTATGTTACTGAAGTGTTGTCAGGGAGTGAGAGACGCAGGTGTGTGGTTACCCCGGTGACCCTAATGAGATGCAGGAATCAACTTTAATATTTCATTTCATCTTGGTTCTTTTTACACTTTATGTACAGCTTATACATCCAACTGTCTGTGTTTTGTCAGATCAGAATATAAACTAACCATAAAGTAAATTAAGCCATAAATTCGTATTATTTGGGCCTTAGATAAGGAAGTTGCTGGTCGTTGGACTTTTGGGTCACTGAACTGTTCAACATTTCAGCACTGTCAACATTAAATTTCCTGACTGTTGTGACAGAAAAAGATGTGAAAACCCAGCTTGTTGATGTTTATTAAGTCATTACAAAAGATAAGTCAAACAGAAAGTCTCAAGGATGAGACCATTCCAAGCAGAAGAACATGTCCAACCTAAGATAATAAGACAGTGCCTTTAAACAGAGTCTATCGACGTGAACGAGGTCACCAGCCTAGTCGAAGCTGGAGGGCAGTATGACCTGCTTTCAGACAATGAACAGACATGTCATGACAATATTGTTACATTTAATGAGATCATAACAGAAGACCTAGCAGCATCAAGCATATGGAATTTTATTGAAACGTATTTATTTCTTCTGAATCCTGATGTATGTGTATTTCCTCACCCTTTTCTCTACCTCTTCCCCCTCCCCCTCTTGGCCAGAGCAGCAAGGGCTAGAAGTGAGTGGTTTCTCCACATTGCATGCTGCATGTGATGTCTGCACAACAGAAACTCTGATTGCTCTTGTAAAGTGTCTCTTGTTCAAATGAAAAGTATTTTTACTCTATTAGCTTGTTTAATCTCATTAATGACAAGGTTGCTAGAGTTTGCATGCTCTCTCTGTGCATGAGTGAAATCTATTCAGGTACTCCTATTTCCTCCTGTAGACCAAAACATGTATGTCTGGTTCATTGGTAACTCTAAAGTGTCCCTAAATGTGTGTGGGAGTGTGAAGGGTTGTTTGTTTCATTTGTCTTTATGTGGTCCTGTAACTTAACCATGGCCCTCATACCAAAGTACATATTGAACTATGACCCTCATACTGAGGTACATACTGAGCCATGGCTTTGGTGTACCTATACACCTCTAATGTTTACTAGTTAGGTGACTTCTGAAGACAATTAGTTGGACTAGCTCGTTCGGGTTTTCAGAGTAAAGACAGCTATGGACTGTACTTGGTAAATGGACTGTTTTTATAAAGCACCTTTCTATCTTATTTCAAGATACTCAAAGCTCTTTACACTACAATCTGTGTCCTCATTTACCCATTCATACAGCTCTATACTAGATCTCTACAAAGCTAATTGAACAAATCATTCTGAGACTAATCAGTGCTTTAGATCACATTCATACACTGATGGGACACACATCAGAGGCTATGAGGAGTTCACTGTCTTGCCCAGGGACACTTCAGCATGTGACTGCTGGTGGATTCGAACCCCCAACTCTCACATTGGAGGACGACTGCTCTAACCACTCAGCCACAGCCGCCCCAGCTGCGTGCAAATGCACAACACACATTTCAGATTTTCACTTATTAAAAAATATAATACAAATTATGTATCACTTTCCTTCCACTTCATAATTATGTGCTGCTTTGTGTTGGATTATCACATAAAATTCATCCATCCATCTTTTATCTTTACCCGCTTCTTCCTGTCCGTGTCAAGGGTTTGCTAGTGCCCATATCCAGCAGCTACTGTGTCAGTGTCCATCACAGGGCCACAGAGATAAACAACAAGATAAACAACAAGATAAACAACAAGATAAATAACAATTCACTCTCACACTCAAACTAGAAACAATTTAGAGTTAGCAATTAACCTAAAGTATCTGGTAAAATACTGTAAAATTTGTTGTAATGCGACAAAATGTGGAAAATTTCGAATGGTTTAAAAACTTTTTCAAGACACTGCACATATCTGTACACTGCACTGACTTGCCACTGTTATTTTACAATCCTCTTTTCTGAGGTGACATTTGTTATTAACATCTTTATTTTTTTTAAGTGACGGGGGTTTTGATGTGTCAGATAAGACATGAGAGGTCAGATGAGTTTTGGTTGTAAAGACAGCAGTTCAGATTTTTACATTGAGTCTCTCCAGAGCCAAGAGAAAACACCCAGCCTGCAGAGCCTGCGCTATAATGGGAGAAAAGGCTACTGCCCTATATTTAGCTGGGATGCTGCAATGTCTGGGTGCTCCCACTTTCCCTGAGGTTTGTAGTCTGTTTGTGCAAAAACAGACACTTTAAAGCAGCCCCAAAATACTCAGAACCTGATGACGCAGAACTTCATACGGACAGGAGAAACCACTAATATTCAGACTTTGAAGTAACTTAGCAGATGTAGGTCACTGCTAAAAATGAACAAGAAGCGTTTGTTTAATAAGGAAGCTGCTCAGGCTGATGGAGGGGAAGATAGGTCCTTGCAAAAGGCTAACGAGGAAGCCAATATCAAGCTTTGTGTTGATGCTTCAGGATACTGAAGCATTCCTGAGGACGAGGGTGGTAACTAACACCCACGCCTGTGCTAAGCAACAAACATTCTTCAGACCAGTGGGAGCACTTTTTAATCTTGTGCAAGAGCCCAGCTTGCTTCAGAGGCAGCAAGAGAACAACCAAATTTAACCTTGATTTGGGTTCACGGCTGCCCATGTGATTGCTTACGAGCTGGAAGTCTGAACCATCAAGTTCCTCCACTCGACATGCAACGTCTAACCAGTGCTGTGTGACACGTTAGATTAAGATGCTGTCGGAGAGGAAGATGGAGTTGGAATGCCGGGTGCACGCCATGCTGGAGGAGAACGAGCTGCTGCAGAACACGGTGGACAACCTCAGAGAGCGAACTCTGGTGCTGGAGAAGCAGTGTCACGAGAAGGACCTGCAGGTAGTATTACTTTTTTATCGGGACAATAAAGTACTTTATGAGCGCACTGTCTTCTACAAAGTCATTTTCTGATACTTGTAATTCAGTAGTTGTAATGTAGTTCAGGTTTTGAAGTGGGGTTGTGTGGAGAACCTGTCAGTGGACTGGATCTTACCTGCAGCAGACCTCAGTTTGGAGAATCAGGGTGTCAAGCTAACTGGTACTACAAAGTCTATTTAAAAGTATTTGCTTTATAAAACAACTCACAAGTTTCCTAGCAGCTTAAGTAATTATTGATCTTTTGCTGCTCCTTCCACTTTGCTCTTTCCAGTTTTCACACCTCCAGAACAACCATGAACCCATTTCAGGTTAGGTGCTCGCTTCAGACAGGCGTACAAAACTGTGACGAAAATTGACTCGAACTGTGAAACATTCAGCCGTCAGACTGTGACAATCAGCTGGTGGAAAGATCCTCCATCCACCAGTCATTAGTTACTGGAATTAATGAAAACGGCCCGAGATCCTCTGAAGGCATTTTAACTTACTGCTGACTCTTTGTGTTGCAGCATTGAAAAATAATACATAAAACGTGAAATATTTGCCTGCTGTCAGTAATCAGTTCTGTTCTTATCGGACATGTCTGCACACATTAGATCAGAGCTTGGTCAGAGATCAGAGGTTCTTAATAAAAGAAATGCTCAAAAACATTTTTGTTTTGCAGCCGGGGGTGTTTCCAACGATACACTGGGACTCGAAACATTGTTTTAAATGCAATATTTGTGTTTTTATGGAGAACACCAGAGAAAAATAGAAGCAGTTAATCAGAATCAGCTTTATTATCATTGCACAGAGCACAACAAAATTACATTTCAGTACAGCCCATCAGAAAAAACACAAACAAACAAACAAACAAGGGACAGGGTAGACGGGGTGTCTGAGGCTGCAGCCTCACCGAGAGGTGCTGCCTTTTTCGTTAAATTAGAAAAAGGGGAACACTAGGGAAGAGGTAAAAAAAAATTCATATCTCATAGGCTGCAAAAAAAAAAAAAAAAAGCACAAAAAAGCAACAACATATTAATAGTGTAAAGATCAGTAAATGTATTAATCCTTTAAATTAAAGATGCATAATATATTTATTGTAGGCAGCAAAGAAATAAATGCTACACAGATTGATCCAAACGGCTGTCCAGGTTCAGTAATTTCACTCACTGAGGTGAGACCTACTGATCTGTAGTTGTACTGTGCAGTTGCACTGTGTATTACTCTGTTTGTTAGTAGAAAATACTTATAACTACGGTAATTATTGTCCTGTCTGTTAGCATGCTACATAATGATAAATGGTCTAACCAAAACAAACCAGGCAGAATTATTTCAGAAAAACTGTGTGGGTCTTTTAGTTTTCTACAAAAAAACTGAACAAACATTAAAACAATCTGCCATTTTAGAGGATTAAGTGTGATTTATTTATTATTATTTATTTATGTATTTATGTATTTATTTATTTATGTATTTTGTGAAAGCTTAACTGTTTCCATGTAGACATGAATGAATGGGGCTCCACTGCAGTTTGACAGCATTCATCTTTAATTTGTCCAAATTCATTAAATAAATTCTCCCACAGTCACCAGTACTGCTGTATTACTTATGTTTGAGAGCAATACCTGAGCAGCACTTTTATTAATTATGAAATTATGAATTATGAAAGCATTGTTCACGTTGTAGCTAGTTTCATATTAGAACATTTTATCTTTTTTCTTTGACCACCTGTTCTCCCTCTGAACAATCTGATCAATTGTTCTCGAAACTCCCCAGAAAAATGGTCTCTGTTTTAGTGATAGTTTTCAGTTTTATTGTTTAACTTGGGATCAAACATTCAAAACTATAAGTTGGACTGCAGCGATATAGAAACTTTTCTTTATACTATTATATAGCAACACAGATGCTGATGAGTTAAAAGCAAAGTAACAACGCAAGCAACTTTGTCAAGCAACAATTATGTTACTTAATAATTAACACAACACAGACTGTCAGGAATTTTTATTTTTTTATTGCTGCTACTGACGGTGGCTTGTGTGTGTCGTGATTTGTTTTCAGTCTGTTAATTAAATATCTCCTGAACTTTACAAAATGTATTAAAACTCTCAGAAAATAACCATTAAACATGCATCTGCACCAGGTTAACTTTTAGAGTCAGTCTAATTCAAGATGGCCGCTAGAACTAATCAACCTTGACAGATATTGAGCCGGTGTGGTAGTAGCTGAGAGTCATCTTCATCACAAACCCAGCTGATAGAACAAGATCTTTGACACATAACAAGGGAGTAATGTGCGCTTAAAAAAAAATCTAATGAAAAACTCTTAGTTTGACTTCTCTGTGAGAACATTCCTCTCAATCTCCAACCTGATTGCTCTACCTGCTGCAGGTGAGACGCTGACTGCTCACCAATTCAGCTCTTTCAAAAATAGTGAACAGAGCTGTCAGACATGTTTTATTTTAATGTGACACCGGTAACGTCAGGTTTTACCTCCTTTGCTGTGTCCAGCTGCGACGGAACCAACTGGAGCTCCAGGAGGTCCAGGCGTCCCACCGGCAGCTCACTGCGAAGCTAGCAGAGCTGACGGAGGAGCACAGCTTTCAAACCCTCACCCCCCATCCTTCCAGCCTGCTGTGTGAGATAGAGCAAAGTATGGAGCAGGAGGAGCAGGAGCAGGAGAGGGAGCAGGTAGTCCTGACTAGTTTAGACTCTGTAACAGAACCTGCAGTGAATGGACCTCTAACATCTACATGTTCTCTCACTTCCTGAACGTCCAGCTGCGTCTTCAGCTGTGGGAGGCCTACTGTGAAGTTCGCTCGCTCTGCTCGCATCTGCGGGGAAACGATATCACTGACTCAGCACTGTCCACTGACTCGTCCATGGACGAGTCCTCGGAGACGTCCTCAGTGAGGGACGTGCCTACAGGAAGTCTCCAGACTAGCCTGCTGGAGCTAAGGAGGCTGACACAGAATCTGCTGGACGGCAATGAGTCCACGGTAAAGAAAGCACACTGAACTTCAGAACTGAGGTTGTGTCCTGTTTTACTGGTCCAGTAACTTCTCAACGAGTTCCTGGAGTAATGTTTAACTCAACTTTAAAATTTAAAATATATTTGTTTTGCAGGCAATAAGGACAAAGTAAGTTTACAAAGAGTTTGATTTCTGTCTGACTTCTTGACGACATTGAGTTTCTTATAAAAGTTTCACTTCAGTTGGTCGATCTGAACCATCTAATAAGTTCATGTGTCTGTTTCATACAAAATAATAAATTAATGGATACATTTTATTACTAGGTTTAAAGAAAGTCCACATTTTTTCAGTTTTAAGGTTTTACATTTTAGGACAAATAAAACTAATCCAGTCATTTGGAAACTTTCTTACCACCCAGAGCCTTTAGCAGCTCCTCTCTTCCATCATTTGGTCTTCTCTGATTTTACTTTTTTTCTCTTCTTCACAACAACAGTCATTCTACACACAACCATCCGATGCTGTCTGGCCATGCTCTCCCCTGCCACAACCTTACAGTCTCCAATCTCCCTCAGGTTTCCTCTTGTACACAGAATGCAGTCGACCTGTGTACTCCTTCCTCCACTCTTATAGGTCACTCTGTGTTCCTCCCTCTTTTGGAAATAAGTGTTGACTACAGCCATTTCCATTCTCTTGGATAAATCCACCACATCTGTCCTTCCTGGTTTCTTTCCTTGACACCAAACCTACCCTTCACTTCCTCATCCCCTCTGTTTCCTTCACCAACATGTCCATTCAGGTCTGATCTGATCACCACTCACTTCTTCCTGGGAATACTCTCTATCACTTCATCCAGATCTTTCCAAAATGTATATTTCTCCTCCTCATCGCATCCAACCTGTGGAGCATAACCACTGACAATGTTTAGCATCAGACCTTCTACTTCTACCTTCAGACGCATCACCCTGTATGACGCTCTTTTCACCTCTACCTTCCTTCTCAGCATCATGTCAACCAGCTCTCTACCTTTACTTGTCACTGTCCTCATATTTAGAATTGCAACCCTCAGTCCTACATTCTTGACTTTCCTCTTCTCCTTCTGTCTCCTGACACGTTTCCCTCCTCGTGGTCTTCAACTAACAGTAGCACAATTTCCTCCGGCACCCTGTTTGTCAACAGCACCGGTGGCGGTCGTTGTTAACCCGGGCCTCAACCGATCTGATATGGTTTCACTTTGATGAACTCACATTATAGTTTTGGCAAAAGGGTTTTATGTCAGATGCCATTCCTGACACAACCCTCACCATTTACCTGGGATGGGAACTGGCAAAAGAGATGCATTGACTTGTGCTCCCTAGTGGGTGACTTACAGAGAAATATTTACTTTGGTAAAACATTTGAAATAACTGTCAATCTTCATTGAAGTGGACGTCCCAAAAAATCACCCCAAAAGCCCCACCTCAGATTAGAGTTGCATTCAGGCCCAAAAAATCCGACCTGACCCGGCCACAGCCCATAGCCATCATTTCTGAACCCCACCTGACCCGAACAGTTACATTACAGTAATTACAGGTCTGAACCCGACACCCCCCCCCCCCCCAACATTTTTAATTACGCTTTGACTGCTTATATAGTTATTAACAGTCGGTGGACACACACGGCTGAGTAAGGGGACAGAAGATCGGAGCTGTTTGTCCTTTCATGGCAGTCAAAGTGCATTAAATCCATGCATTCTGCATTATTCAGACACGGACATGTTGAATATTTTGGGATCTCATCTGTTTGGGTCGTCGGCTGTGTGTGTCTGCTAATGCAATCAAAAGTCCGACATCAACCCGGCCCGCACATGAAGCACATTATTATGGCTCGACCCGGCCCTAATCCGGGTCGGGCCGGGCCAGGGTTCAGGTTAGAAATGACAGCTCAACCTCAGATTCTACAGGTCTCAGCAGGTTAAAGGTCAAGGATCGAGACAGAACAATAAGAAATAGACCAAACAAGTATAGTTAGTCAAATGTGGGACCATCAGTCTGACAGCTGAAGCTTGGATCAAACTGGGTCATGATGAAGCAGAACAATGATCCAAACACAGCAGCTAATCTACAACAGAACAGAGTCAAAGTTCTGTGGTGGTCCAGTCAAAGTCCAGACCTCAACTTGATTGAAATTCTCTGATGAGACTGTCTGAGAAATGAGCAGAAACTAACATCTGCAAACCAATGAAGTGAAGCAGTGCTGTAAAGGAGAGTGGACCAAAATGTACACACAACCATTGAATACACTAACAGAGTCTCAGAGGAAACAGCTGCTCAGAGTTTTTGTAACTAAAGGAGGCTCTACAAGCTGCTGGACTGAATCAGTCTTTTTTTTATTTATTTTGGCTTCATTTTGTTTAATGTCTTCACATGGTGGACTCTGTTGTGTGATTTTGTAGATTTGAGGTTAGATTCAAACAATTTCAGAACGTGGTCAGGACCAGATCATTGTTATTATATCCTGTTCTGTAAAACCTCAGCACTGAAGAAGTGTGGACTTTCTTTTCCCATGGCTTTAACTCTGCACCTCCTTTGAGGCTGAATTGTGGATAAAGTGTGTTTGGTCCTAAAAGGAATCGCGTCGCAGCGATGAGGAGGCTCTGGAGGAGCAGGTGAGGAAGCTGGGAGAAGAACTGCAGGAAGTCAAAGATCTTTATGAAGCAGAGCAGCACAAAACACTCAGCAACAAGGAAGAGATGCGGAAACTGCACAACCAGGTGAGCTCTGATGGACAGGTGCACACTGCCCTGCACACTCGCTTTAAAACCTCTGAGTCCAGAGGAGGTTTGAAATAGCAAAGTTCACTGTTTCATCCTGCTGTGACCTGCAGGTGGCACTTCTCTCTGTGGAGATTTCCTCTCTCCGGGAGGAGAATGAACGAACGCGGGCGATGGCTGAAGTCCGAGAACCCAGCGAGCAGCTCCAGAGCGCCATCAGAGACAGAGACGACGCCATAGCCAAGTAGGACTGAGCAGAAAATCACTCTGACACAGACAAATGGTCTGAAAAACAACAGAACAGAACAATCTATGATTTGTCCATCACTTAAAACTACTGTACTTTTCAGTCTATAAGTCACAGTTTTTTTTGCATAATTTGCATGCCCTGTGACTTATAGGCCCACGGGACACATTTATGGATTTTTTTCCCATATTTATAAACTAATTTTTGGCTGAGATATGACCGTTTTCATTCATTTTGACTGAAAAAAATGAGCAGTACCACTTTCAGCCACTTGATGGCAGCAGAGGTGTAGTAGTTTTAAGGCATGTTGTTGTATCATGTAATAGGTAAACGTTGCTATAATAACAAATTCAAAAGAAAGTTCAAGACAAAAACAAGTGGTCTTTATTTATTATACTTTACTTTATACTTTATTGTTTTTTTTTCTTGAACTTTTTTGAATTTACCATTTCCTGGATGACTGACAATCTTCACCAGCTATTACTGATACAATCGGCTTGCCACAGTCTCCTCATCTTCATTCTGCTCGCTGCTTGGAACCGTTAAAACAGCTGCACCACCCCAGCGAAATGCAGCTGATTTGACCATTAAAGTGCATTTAATAAGCAAACGCTCAACTGAGACACACCTTTGCTATAATTCCGAGCAAACAAATAATTGTTTAGGTGCTTTTCTTGTTAATTTTTGAAGAAACGAGCCGCGTTCCTCCTTCCTTTTCTTTTCCTCTGCGCATTCACAGAGCACCTCAGCAGCGAAACTATTTTTGAAATGAAGCTGATTTGACCGTTAAAGTGCATTTATTAAGCAAATGTTAGACTAAGACACACCTTTGCTATAATTTCAAGCAAACAAATCATTGTTTAGGCAGTTATCTTGTTAAATTTTAAAGAAATGCAGCAGCTTCCCAGCTGCATGTGCCCGCTTTGCGTCGCCGAGGCAGCAAAACTATTTTTGAAATGCAGCTGATTTGACCGTCAAAGTGCATTTATTAAGCAAACATTAGACTGAGACACACATTTAATATAATTTTGAGCAAACAAATAATTGTTTTTAGGTGTTAATTTTGTTAAAATCTTGGTAAAGTCCTCCCGTGCACGCTCCCTCAGCACCATTTGATAGCCCATTGGTTTTTGGCACAACACCGGCCCACATTTCCGGGTTGTCGGCGGTGACGCATAATAGATGCGATGTATACGGCGAAGCAACATATTTATGGATTTTTCCACTTTAGTAGACAAATATGGACTGATGCGACTTATAGGACAGTACGATGTGTATGGCAGAAAATACTGTATTTTAGTTTGTATTTCTATTTAAAACAACCTCACAGCATTTTCCACAGATTTGTATGCACTACGCTGAGATGATGTCAGGCTCACGTTCAGGTGTGTGTGTGTGTGTGTGTGTGTTCGTGTTGCAGGAAGAAAGCTGTGGAGATGGAGCTGGCCAAATGTAAAATAGACATCATGTCTCTGAACAGCCAGCTGCTGGACGCCATCCAGCAGAAACTCAACCTGTCGCAGCAGCTGGAGGCTTGGCAGGTGGGTCTGTGGGAATTTTACATAAGTATTGTTCAGGCATTTTATATATTCATTATCTTTGTAACTGCTAACATATGGAGACCAAGCTAGACTTGGACTGTTTTTTTGGGGGGGTTCTTCTGTATGATGGGGGATGGTGTCTGCAGCCTTCTCCTTCCTCACCTGTGACTAGCAGCTCTTTCCTCTCTTCTCTCCCTGCCCACAGTTTGCCTCCTCAGGGCTCTTTACTGTATGGCTCTTGTGGTTTCTGATCTAGTGGCCTCTCTCAGCCTCAGTACCACCCTTTCTCCCCCTGTGGTGCCCCCCTACCCTCCTGCCTTAGAGGTGAGCCCTGAGCTGTGCCATCTCACCGTTCCGTCCTGCACTGACCCAACTACGACACAATGAGTCATTCTGTCTCTGTGTTAACTAAGTTTAGATTTTTAAACTCTCTCATCATCCAGCTGCACCTTCCTCTCTCTCCATCTGTCAGTTCATCCTTTCCACGCACTCCTGTTTCACTTTTCTTTGAGACAGGATGGATGATCCACTCACCTGACGTTACACAGATAAATACTTATACTACAGAAAACGTTATTGTTAGGATAATAATAGGTCAACAAAAAAGAATCCGTCCAGGTGACCTGACTTAACCTTGTTAGAGATGGAGGAAGATGTTGCATCCCAAGAACATTTATGCAAATAAAACAAACAATAGATAATACAGCCCAGTAATTACCAGGTATATGCATGGTACTTACCTCAGGATACATACCTGGTACACATCTGGTACTTACAGGGGGACCTGATACATACATTGTACATCCTGGTATCTTCAGAGTACATCCTTGAACCTTACAGCGTACATATTTGATACATGGTACTGGTACTTGCCTGGTATACAAAGTACATACATGTTGTTATAAATGTACTTACCTGGTACGTACAGGGTGTGTACCTAGTACATTGTAAGTACCAGCTGTATCATGTATTGCTACTGTAAAATGTTTTTACTAATTTTTAATAGTAACATAAAAATTCCATCTTCATACAGCAGCTTGTCTGAGTCATCTGTGGTTTTATCTTAGTTCAGTTTATTTAAATTTAGTTTATTTAAATTTAGTTTATTTAAATTTAGTTTATTTATGCAACATTAGTTTACAGCTGAAATCACGGGTCAGTCTAATTTTATTTTAGTCTTACTGAGTTCACACAACAAGCACTTGTAAATTACAGGTGTCAGAACTGACTGACAACAGATACAAAGACATTTTTTTAATTTAATTTGTTCTTTAAATATAAGTAAAGTCCAGAATTATATTAAAAAAGAATTAGACAAAATAGACCATATAAATATTGCATTTAAATAAAAAGTATTTCATTCCTTCTTTTTGTGTAATTATACATCCATTCATGTATTTCCAGCCTGCTTCACATTCTGAAAATGTGAAAAATGAATTAACTTCAAAATGTTTTGATTTGGTATAAAAGCAATTTTCATGGTGTTGTCAACACTAGAATGAAGAGCGGAGGATAATTATATATTATATTATTTAATCTGAATTATACTCTGAAATGTTGCTCTAAATTTTGTTGTAAAAAAAGTAACTCTTAAATCAGAGGTGTCATCTTTAATGTTTCATAGAGAATACAAATATTCTGAAAATACTGTATGAAAATAACTTTTTTTGGGACAACTTCAGATTTTTTCTTGCAGAATGGGACAAAATAACAATTTGAACTTTTCATCACTAAACAAAATGTAAAAGGTTTTTACAACTCAACAGTGTGAATCAAGTTTTGGTTTTGAAATACAGAAATGACTCAGTTTTATCAAATGAAAATTAACACAAAGGTTTGCTAGATAGAACAAAAACATCAACTACAAGTTAAAAATAAGATTTATTTTACTTGCATTTCACATTCAGTGTTGAATTTAGATTTTTATTATTGTAATGAGTACAAAGAAGAAAAGAGCACAGTCATGTTTTTAAGCACACTGTAAATAACCATATCATGTATTTTTGAATCCAATGTCAATTATCTGAAAATTGAAAATGACCAGAACAAAGTGAGGAAGTGAAGGGTTTTTCCTGTTATAAATTACTGCAATAATGAAATACTGTCATAGAAATATAAAGTAAAACTACCTTTTTGACGTAAAACACAAAACGCTTCATTATGACCTACATGGTTCAAAACAACATAAATAAATAATAATAAATAAAAGAATAATATTAAAATGCACAGTTCAAAATATCACTGTGGTGTTACTATGATACAGACGAGGTCAGAAATTTACATCCACTCCTTCTGGACATGAATGTCACGTTAATCTGAGTCTTTGTATTATTCATTTTATTCTTATTATTCTACAACAAACAATTCAAATATTTCTTCAAAAACTTAGTCCACATCTTAGAAATTATTGTGGATTTTCTCTAATCCACTCGGGGTCAAAATAATACATACAGACTCAAATATTTACATACACTGTAATTTTTTTTAAAATAAGTGCTTTTGAAGATTCTTCAATGTCTTTTGACTTGACAAGACGAGAGCCTGTTAACATCTCATTGGTAATCATGACTGCAGATTATAGTTTCTCTTTGGCAGCATGACAATAAATAGCACTCATTAAACTGACCTATAGGAACATCAAAAGAACACTGTAAAGATCTAAGAAAGAGATTTGTAGACACACAGAAGTTGTAAAAACATTTTTAACCCAATTTTAAACAACTTCAGATTGTAACATCATCTTGTCAAGCAACAAGTTACTTGGTTATATCACCACTTTGCTAAGTTCTGGCAGAAGACCCAAAGTATCACACTTAGATTAAAGGAAATTGATGAGGATGTTCAGGAACAACCAGGAACCACCAAGACCCTGCTCCAAAAGTGACACCTCCAAGCTTGATGGACAAGTCAGATGTTTTCTGGAGAAAAAGTTTGATGGTTGTGTTGGTACAAAGATGGAGTTTTTTTTGGCCCAAAGGACAACATGTGTGTTTGGGGGAATTAAGACGACACTTTCAAACCTAATAATACTTTATTGGGCAGCACACCTTATCCCCAAAATGCCCCCCCCCCCCCCCCAATAGCTGCCCACTGCACCACCTGGTGGTGGATGGGTTAAATGCAGAGACTAATTTTGCCATTGTATGGAAACATACAGTGATGACAATGTGATGACATTATTATTATTATTATTATTATTATTATTATTATTATTATTATTATTATTATTATTATTATTATTATTATTATTATTATTATTATTATTAACTATCAACCATGGTGGTGGTAGCATCACGCTGTGGTACCGAGACATTACGCAAAGTGGATGAGATAATGACAAAGGAGGAGAACTGACAAGTTCTTCACCTTCACCTCAAATCAATGACTAGATGATTGCTCAGTGACAACTGGGTTTCCAACAGGACAATGATCCCACACTTACCAGAACTGTTTTCAGAATGGATAAATAAATCAGGCTAACATTGAACCTCTGGAATGGCCTTGCCGAAGCCCCGACCTGAACCCTGTTGAAAGTGAATGGACTCTGTTAAAATGCCGGGCTGGCGACAGGAAACCATCCATCACCTTTACCCGCTCCTTCCTTTCCAAGTCTCAGGGGTCACTGGTGCCCATATCCAGCAGTCATTCTGTGATAGGCGGGGGACACCCTGGACACGTTGCAAAGTCCATCACCACAGGGCTTGCCCACAGTGCCATACCCAACCCCACTCAGCCCGGTTTATAAGACCTTCTTGTTCTTGGTTCCAAGCGAACTGCTCTGAGGTGATGTTTTTTAAAGTAAGCAAGCAGCAGCCGTAGATTGGCCACCAGCTACGTCACTGGTTGACCAGCGCAGTTAGTTTGTTTTTTCAAGTTTTCTAGTTGTTATAGTTTCTAGTTCAACAGGGAAGCTCCAAAACCAGTGCCGTGGACCAATGACAAGGTTCAGACCTTTCTATCTTTATCGACAGATCAGAGGATTCAGAGCGAGCTGGACGACCCTACAAGAAACAAGCTAATTTACCATGAGATATAGGAGCTGATGGCGCAGCATGGCTACACCCAGACTTTTAAGCAGTGCAGAGATAAGCTAAACATTCTAATTCAGATTACAGTTACGATGACTGCCCACTTTGCAATGATGATCACCCACAGAGCAGGGAAACAAGTCACAGTGGCAATTCAACTACACCTGAGAAGAACCGATAAGACGAGAACTGACTTGAGTTGAACTTATCAATGGCAAAGCATCTTAAAAGAAAAACAACCAGTTACACTCTCACTCACACCTAGGGACAACTTAGAGTTACTAATTAGCCTAACATGCATAGGCTAGGGTGGGAGTGGCACAGAGGATAGAAAAGGCAAGTTGTGATCAGGTCAAAGTTTGTAGTAGGTATGCTAACTCCACATAGAAAGGCTGAGAGGCTAAAGCTCCACTAACTGAGCCACCTGGGGGAAATCAACAAATTTAAATACATTCTGCCAAGAAGGATGGTCAATTATCTGTCAGAATTATACCAGAAGCTTGTTGATGGATACAAAAAGCCTGCAGTCACAGTGAAAAGTGTCATTTTAGTATGTGTGTATGTATATATTTGAGCCTGTATACATAGTTTTGACCCAGGTGAAATCTACTTTAAATTTAAACTTGCACATCCAATACTATTTGTAAAACTCATAGAAGTTGTACATTGTACAGTCATTCCACCATGGAAATAATCACTGGAAGCAGTTTATGTGCCATTCATGCTCATGGTGAACAACTTCATGCCAACTTCTCACCACATCTGTATTTAACTGTATGTGATGATTCTCTTTGAGCTGTATCTCATTCCCTTTGTTGTCTCTGGCTTTAGGATGATATGCACAGAGTGATTGACCAGCAGCTCATGGACAAACACCAGGACGAGTGGCGTTCGGCCCATGGCTCCCTGTCGGGGTCTACAAGGAGTCAGTCTCCAAGACGAGTTTGCCGTGTCTCTGATCGAGACAAGAGACTTTTCTCTTTTTTCAAAAAGAGCTAAGCTCTGCTGGACTGGCCATAAGCCCAGGAGACAGAGACAAACAAGGTGAGGGACAGGGAAAAGGGACATCACAGTCCAGCCAAAGACAGGCAGTGGCACACGCAACTGTTTGGGGATGGGGCGGGGGGTCATTTTGCACTATATCTGTCACATTACTCCTTCTTACTGATGAATTGGAGGCTGCTGACAATGAGCAGGACTTCCCCAGAACCTTTGGCTTGACTCCTTTTCATAGAGCTCTTTTGTTCACAGAAAACAACAGGGTTATGAAGTTTACCTTCATAAAGGAAGGTTTCCTTGTAGTGCCTACAGCCATCTCTACAAGCCACTGCCAACTCTGTAGAGGTGGAACACAACATACAATTACTATGTGTGTCCCTGTTCTCAGGCCAAAGAGTCTGGGGAAGCTGGACGATAGAACAATGTAGGTTCATAAGGAACCAGAGGACGTCAGGGGACAGCTGTGGCGAGGCACTCATCAGATCATAGATGACCTTCTGAGTACAGAACATGCCATTGTTGTCAGGTTTATTCATTTGTTCAGGGAAACATGAGGCAACCGCTTCAATAATCAGATGGTGAACAAAGTACCTAAATGACCAAATGAAAGTTGATTTTGCGTCAAAACAATATGGAAGGAAACATTTTTTTGGAAAAACTCAAAGAGTTCTTCCTTTGTTTGAGTGTCAACCATTATTCACGTTTGGAGTCGTGGACAAGACAACACTAAGATGCACTAATAAAAATAATGGATTGAATGTACAGTAAAAAGTGTTTCATAAAGAAGTTTTACACTGTAGATACAACTAAAGATACAAATATCCAGAGCTACATCCTATAATTTCCCATGATGCTCCAGTTTGACTTTTAATACCCTTTTCCTGATTTTAAATATCTTGTGTTTCAAAATGCAGGTTTACAAAACCCTGGTAACCCAGGTAACCCCTCAAGTAAGAAATGGAGCAGAACAAGGGAATCCTCAAACTAAAAGAGAACCTTTGTTGCGAGAGCAGTGTTGGGATCAACTCTACGTGGCCTTCACGTTCATCTCTGATAGATGAATAAACCTTTGGGTGGCTGAACTCATGAAAGCTGTCTGTCCAGGTGTTATATTTTTTATACGGTTCACATTATATGAATATTATCCTTATTAAGACAAAGGCACTGCCCCATATTGTCCCTGTGATGTCAAACATCTTTCTAGTTGACCAAATTTACAAAAATCGTTTACATAAGCTTGAGAAGGAGGCAGAACTGGGTTGAATGCTTGTTGATTGGCGTGAAGGTAAAGGTGTGTCGATGCACAGCAGCTCCACTAAACTTCCTGTGCAGTGGTCAACATCTGCTGCAGGATTCATCATTCACTCGTAGTAAAGGTCTACCTCCATTCTCGTTGCTTCAATACTTCATGGGCACTTTAATTTCTCAGCTGTTGGGCTTCCATTTTAGGCGACATATAACGTTACGTCTCATGACTCATGTGTAAAGCAGCTGTGCTTACCTATGCAGGTGTGTTTGTGTCATCTCAGCTGGTTGTTGGGAAGGATCAACCCAAAGAATTATTTTTTTTACAAAAAATGTAAAACTAATAGGTTGGGATAAAAGTGGTATAGTCGTATAAAAAATACTTTTAAATGGAGCTCTTTTTGTAGAAAGAAAATATATCCATACAGTGTTATTTGTAGGCTCTGTTTTCATGTTTGTATGTGAACAGGAGATCTACTGATGAGTTAGACATCACTTGTACATTTTCTTTCTTTCCTTATGTTTTGAATGGTCTGGTGGGACAGTGTGAGAAATTCTGTGTATTTTTTGCTGTACTGAGAATGACCAGTAAAATGTTGTTTTTTTAACCTGACAACAACAATCAAAAAAGTTCACTGTTTTACTAGCAACAACAAAGCATTAAAGTTGAACGAGCAAACAAACATATTACAAAACAATATGTCAATAGATGAGAATTCAATTCAATTCAGTTTATTTCTATAGCGCCAAGTCACAACATAAATCATCTCAGGGCACTGTACACAAACATTTGCATATATAAAATACCCATTAGTAAAAGTTCTGTATCTTAGGAAGCCAGCAGGTCGTGTCAAATTTTTACTTTTTCACAATCTCCCATCCTGAGCAGCTTATGGGCGACAGTGGAAAGAAAAACTTCTCTTTAACAGGAAGAAACCTCCAGCAGAATGGGCAGCCATCTGTCTCGACTGGGGTTAGCTAGGTTTTTTATAGACCAGTGCAGAATGACTGGTTCAGATGTAGCTTCTATGGACCAGGTGCAGGGCTTAATTGTAAAAAAAATAAAATAAAATAAAATAAAAATTGATGTCGGAACACAAATAGCAGGCGATCCGGCGCCGGGGGCAGGAGGGGGTTGGTTTTGGGGGGTTGGGGGTGCGAGGGGCGTGCGGGGAGGGGTTCGTGGGTCCTCCCCCATAAAATTTGAAATGAAAGAGACACCATTTCCTGCATTTTGGTGTATTTTAACAGGTTAAACATCTGTAAGCATTTGATTAAATTGATTGAAAACAGGTCTCTCATGTAAATGAGTCCTCGAGGCTCAATGAGACTAACAACCTGTATAAATAAAAGTTGAATTGAAATGACTATTTTAGAGAGCAGTGAATAGAGCAGCTCCGATTCTGTCAAGTGTCCCAAAACCGAACCAAACAGCTAGTGAGGCTCTGTCCGTTTGTTCCACATCCCTGCTACGAGCCCCTCTGATGTCTTGTTTCTTTCACACAAGAACTTCTGCAGTGTTTTTGTAAGCAACTGCACGTCAACACCAAATTTAACTGACATGATGTAAAGGAGAGCTTGTTATACATACCTGGACTCACTGAAAAAAAGAATGCACTGGAATGGTCAACTCTAACATACTAATTGCTGATGAGGCGATAATTCATGCCATTTTGTGCTATACTTATCATAACTTGAACTTCAAAGAAAATGACATTAGATTAAATGTATCTTTTTTCTTTGGAAGCCCCAGTCTGACATGCTGTTATTATACCAGGAGTTGTTGCGCTTCGTACTATTAATCTGGGTACTGATCTTAAATAAAAGTTGTTAGTCTACCAACCTGTTTTTCCTATTTTATGTGTAAAATTTACACACTAAATAATAATGAATTAGTGTACAGGCTAGACAAAAGCTCAGCTATCCCTGCATGTTATATAAGGCCCAGATATTTTCAGAATTATGGGGAATAAAGAATACAACATGTAATTTATTAGTCTAAGTATAACTACATTCTTTTTAAAAATCAGAACTTTATAGACTAAGTCGACATATAAAGTAACAATCATTTACAGTAAATAGCAATTAAGTACTGGTCTGTACGGAAGAGGATTAGGGCCATGGTAGTAAAAAAAAAAATCATTTATTTTTACATTCTGAGAATAAAGTCAGATTTCAGGGAAACATAAATAGAATTGCACCAGTGCTTGACCGAGCTTGGTGGAAGACTCACTACAGCCAATGTTTGTCCCGTTTTCCCAACAACTAGAACATGATTTTATTAAAATAAAACAAGTGATTTTTATGTGTTATTGACCTGATGACACACCTTGCATCAAGTACATTGACTACGTGTGGCTTCTAAATGTAAACAGTACAGTGATTAATGTAGCACTTAGCAAGATGGCTGCCACAGTTCTTGCCTTGCAGCGTCAGTGGCTTTCCAGTCTAGTTTGGTTTCAGTGCCTGTAGCCATCACAAGGTAACTTCAGGCCAGAGTCATTAGTATGTAGCTTTTAGAGAGTTTCTCCCTTTGTGAAAAGAATTAAGTCTTTTGTCATTATTAGTAGGTCAGTAAGGTTTGTTAACGCTTTAAATAGACAGAAGTCTACAATTATGTGCAGGATTTTCCATTTCAAATAACATTATCACTTGTAAACCAAATTAATACATGAAGACATTTTTTTAATTACAGCTCAATTGTCAACTTATATGGCAAAAACAAATGCAATTTCTTTAAGAAAGCCACATTAACACAGCCTTTAAACTTATTCCTAAATGACACGGGAACTTACTTCAGTAACCAGAGATTGGCCGTCTATGTTCACTTGGATACTTGCTGATGATCCATGTTAAACCTTGTTAAAGCCATAAAACTCCTCCGCACAAAGGATGCACTTCAAGCAGAACAAACGGAAAAGTTGGTGGATTCGTTAACTGGATGTTTAGTTGTTTTCACCAGCATGTGTTTGTAGGTTTGGGTCTCCTGTGCACTTAGTCCTGCCAGAACCAGATCGTACTTTGTCTCGTTTTCATTTTTTAAGATGATTATTAATTGTTAAGATTATGTTGATGTACATGCTGTCTCTGGTAATTTCATTGTAAAATGAACAGATTTTCTAACTGAAAGCATGTTTCTGAGGTTGAACGTCCTGATGCTGCCTCCACGGATCATGTGTGTGTGTGTGTGTGTGTGTGTGTGTGTGTGTGTGTGTGTGTGTGT